AAGGATCACGAAAAAGTGGCTTCCAGGAAAAACAGTTTGAACTAAAAGAAAGGATGACACCATGCCTTTCTTTTGTAGCCTTGCAGCACCAACACCAAGAGGTGCCAGGCAATGGAACATGGCAGACCTTGCCACCATACAGCATTATGCCATCGCGTCTGCAGAAGCCACATGCCTTAAGTACAGTGAAAACTTCATTCAGTTTGAGCTGAAATCAAGAAAGACCCCCTTGACTTCATCTGAAACTGAATCAGGGTCCCCATGCATTTTATGGAAAGCTGCAAACCTTCTGACAACAGAGCGTGGCCTGAAGGCAGTGAGTCTCCACCAAAAAAACAAAACAAAACAAAACAAAAAAACCCTATAACTTAAACTCCTGCCAAAAAGGCAAAGATTTCACAAAAGACAGAGGCCTTGCCACTAGAACTCATCAAGAAAGTGCCTTTAATGTCACTACAGCTATTCCAGAGGAAGACCAGTATGCATCAACCAGCCCACAGCTGCCTTCACACACACGGAGGAGCTCCTCACAGCATGGTCTGCTGAGAGGGGGCACCCAACTTAGTCCTATGCCCACAGGCACAGCACCCATCCTGACAGAAAAACAAGCACTTTGAGCCCCAAGCCAAAGTGAACAGCCAGTGTCACCCAGTGGAGCAAACCTGCAGCAAGCCACACAAGAAAAGCTTATTGAAAGAGTAGGTGTGTGAGCACAGAGCAGGCACGTCCTGCTGTTCAGGGACCCACCAGTGCAAAGCAACCAAGGGAGGCAAAAGTGGGAGAAGTCTGCAAAGCCAACCGTGATTGGACAAGAGCAGGGGAGTATCACACGTGTATACCACGTCATTCAACCTCACCAAGGTAAAGAAAAACAAGAAAGGAAACTGAGCAGAGAAGATACACACCTGAGAACTCCCCTATGGGCCATGTCCAGCGAAGCACAGAGAGACAAGGGAAAAAAAGGAAGTGAAACAAGGATCAATCAGTGACTGAAACCAACTAAATAAAAATTTTGTTAAAAAAAAATTAACAATGATTCAGCCATTTCAATGTCAAAAGGCATGAAATAGTATGGACAGGATCTGCCATGACTGTAGATGGCATGACTCCACATACAGGACACAAAGAAAAAATAATAAAATCAAGGGAAGTTAAATTGTGTTACATTTGCAACAGCATGCCTCAGCTACTCCCAGTTTTCCAGACATGAATCTCAGGTAATCACATCTTCCTGAACTGGATAAACCTTTATTTTCTCTTTATTTAGTCATGTACCACTAAATGCAGAACCAATGGTTCTCATTTCCCCTCTCCTTGCGATTTTAGCAAGTAGATCATCTGGTAATGTGATACTTCAGTGATACTTCAGCTTGCAAAAGACAATTAGTTGCATTTAATTTGTTTTCCTTCAGTACAGTGCTGTGTCTCAGTTTGATATTCCCATTTCAACTTTTGTACAAATATTTATGCACAAACTTACCGCTATTGTAGCTGAATTTCTGCCTTCAACACAAAACCCCTCTAATTTGCAGGGAGGTTTTAAACTCCAAAACAAACACAGGAGGGCATCCTAAAACTGAAAGGAAGGACCTGCCCATAGCACACAACCAAATTACTCCTTTGTGTCCAGAAACTCTTGGGATAAGGAAAAGCAGGAAGGAGGAGATGATGGGAGAAGGAGGATACAAAGGTGGAAGGGGGAATCTACCCAGGATTGGGAAGCAAGAACTTGTGATTAACAAGTGAATATGCAGGAAAACAACTCATGTTCCTAACACTGCAGTGAGAAAAAAGGGAATTCAGTCTACAAATACTACCAGCGAATAATTGTCCTATTTCCACATTTTCCTCCAGAATATTTCCTATACAAACTCACATATGTAAAGCAGTACGAGAGGCAGGGAGGGAAACCCACGTTTTATTTATCATTTTACATTCAAAAATGGCAGTGAAGAGTGCCAATTTAGTACCAAGAGATACTGCCTGCTTTGCAGATATCCAGAAGGAAGGAGTGAGATTTGCCATTGAAGAACCAGACTTATCTGCCTGCTCAAGGGTAATTTCTGTAAGATCCTATTTTCAAGTCCTCTTTAATGAGATTTTTCTTTCATGAGGAAACTTAGTCCAAAAGGAGAGAATATTATTTGAAGATTGATTGCCAAGTTTTGCAAGAGACTAGAAGTATTCCAATTCCACTTAGGTGGGGTAAACTTCATTAATTATTTTGCTTTACAGAGAGAAGTGAGCTCCAAATACGAAGCAGAAAGAAAGAGAACTCTTTCAGCTTGTGGAACTTGTTTCTTACATCGTGTCCATAAAGGACTATTTCCTCTGTGGCTCTCCAGATTCAAAGGTACAGAAGGAAGAGAGAACAATTTCTCTAACAAAAAAGGCAACATTTTTAATAATATTGAGATACTTGTCAGTACCAAAATACAGCCTTTTGCTTCCACCATTAACAGACTTTCTCAGTGCTTTCTATTGTTCAAAGAAAAAAAAAAAAAAAGTACAAATCTCATTTTCTTGGTCAGAGACATGATCTCTAAGATCTCTTTCTGCCCTTCTCCCTTTGTGCAACCCTGGCAATGTGTGTGTTCACTTTAAAAAAACCTTTTAGACAGAGTCAGTAGACCAGAACTCAAGAAAAAGATTATTTAAATTAACATTTGTCACAGGAAACTCACAGAACGACCTGATTTCAGCACATTCCATCTCCCAGGTTTGAAAAGGAACCAGGAGATGCCTTGCTATCCTGCTAGCCCACTGAGATCACCTGCAAGAGTTTTGCAGCTCTGCTCAAGCCAGAACATTGTCCCAGCTCTGAAAGGTATTCCTCATAAGCCACACCATGTGGTCTTCACAAGCCACACTTCCACGGGCACCATTCAACAAAGTCTCTGTACATTTTTATTACAAGTGGTAACTGCCAAAGCAGGAGTCCTAGCCTTTCTGCAATGACTGCCAAAATCCAAGTGATTCCCAAACCTGGAAATCTTGCTTTTCCTTCTAAATTCTTAATTTTGGAAGTATCAGCACACATTGGCTCCAACTGTAGGCAGAGAAAGTCTGTGTTTTCATCTTGACTCTTCTGTAGATTTTTTTCTTCCAGCAATCTTGAGTTGGAGGAGAAACATTAGAAGTTTTAACACTTCAGGCAATGGTCACCAATCTGTGCATAAGACCTCCCTTACAGGTTTCAGGGCTACCACTATGCTTCTAAAAAAACCAAACTTATACATATCAAAAAGGTATTGCAAGCATCTTGATGATAGTCTGGAATATGTTCGTACATTCCAGTCACACTCCTGCCTATAATAGTTACAATTTCACAGATTTTTATCTTCGATGAACCAAGAAGTATTGCATTAACTTTCTTTCTAGTCTTCAGTCCTCGTCTTCATGGTTAATTCTTCAGTGATTAGGGTTGCTGATACAAGCTTCGTATTCAAAAGTGATACAAGTACCCTCCTAGTTTAATTTCTGCAAAGGTGAGCTGCTGCAAATCTGTGACATGATTCAGCTTATCCAGTTTTGAGCATAGATGCAGAACCAAATGTACAAGGTTATCCATAAGCAGCTCTTACATCAGTAACCACCAGAAAGGAAATGTACACTTTCAGATCAGCTCTCTTGCTACTAAATGCATATAAGGCGTATTATTGAGTCCTCATGTCTCCTAAGGCTCCTTAAATGAAGCAGTAAAACAGAAAGCGAGATACATAGACATAAACTTTGTAAGATGCCTGTGTTGTCTGAGTATTCAAAGACCACTCATAATGTCCTGACTCAGGAAAACAGTCGGGGGGACTTAAGAAAATGCTTAAATTCTGTAACTAATGCTGTAAGTCATGTCTAGATACTGAAAAGTTAAACAGCAGAAAGCATGGGAAGGGCTCAGACTGCTACCTTGAGGCAAAGCTGCTTTTCTGACTGCTTCAGAGTCCTATTCAGGAACATGGAATAAAACCAGACTTCAGATATCACAAGCTCCTTGAACCTAAAAAATGAATCACCACCTCTCTGACTATAAAAGGGTAAAAACTGCAATAAAGACCATAATATTTCCACATAATTTAAACTTTAGGAAACTTTAGATAAGGGGGTACTTTCTTGCAAATTTCAAACAAACACTTTATTTCAAGTGAAATTGCTAATTTTTAAAAATACTATGGGAGAGGAGGAATTTGGGGTGGAAGCAGGAGGAGCAAATTTTTTATTCAAACTACTTGTGTGGGAGAATCCTACAGAAGAGTAACTTATGCACATAAAGACAACCCAAATAAAAATTACCCAATGGTTTAAGTTTTTTCTAAATAAGCTGTACTGCAGGTCCACCTTTCAGTCATGTAATGTCTCAACTTCCATGCTATTTTTTAAAAGCCAAATATCCAAGTTATGGAGAAAAAAAAAAACAAAACAATTTAAGTGCTTCTACAAGCTTAATAAAAGTTGTCATTGCACCAGAGAAAACAGAATGGTTCTAATCAAGTTTTTACCTAGCAGATCTGCTCCTTCATCAACATCTCCAATAACCTCAGATCCGGCTGTGGAAAGTTCATGATACAGAGAGTCCGTGTTGATGCCAAACGCCTTGTTCACAATCCCCTGTGTTGGGCTGTGGTTGGCAGGAAAGAAAAAAAATTGAAAAGAACAAGAACACTTGTTACTTGGCAACATTTAAACTAGAACATTTTTCTGTGAAATACTGAGCAACCCAGACCATTGCAACCAAAACCCTCAGAGCACATTCCACCTGATCACCACGGGCTGATTCAGGAAATGTACAGAGGAAAGAAGAAAGCATGTTTTGTTCCCAATATCAAGGACAAGCACCTCTCATGCACAACCTCAAAGCTCACCCACCTGACTTTCTTTTAAATCACAGTAGTTACATTTGGTAGAAAAATTTCAGCTCACAAAAGCTCTCAGCTCTATCTGTTCAGACTCTGCAAGAACTTCACGCTGTTTAGGTAACAACCTTAGATGGCAGTAAGATCAGGCAGAAACTCAAATGAGTGCACCTCCAGCACTGTGTTCGGTTCTGGGCCCCTCACTAGAAAACGGACATTGAGGGGTTGCAGCATGTCCAGAGGAGCTACCAAGCTGGGGAAGGGAAAGAACAAGTCCTATGAGGAGAGGCTGAGGGAATTGGGGTTGTTTAGTCTGAAGAAGCAGAGGCTGAGGGGAGACCTCAATGCCCTCTGTAACTACCTGAAAGGAGACTGTAGGGAGGTGGGAGCTGGCCTCTTCTCCCAAGTGGATAACAACAGGACCAGAGGAAATGGCCTGAAGTTGCCCAGGAGAAGTGTTCAAGAAACATGTACATGTGGCACTTCAGGATATACTCTAGTGGCTGAGATGAGGGTTTTTTGTAGGTGTTTTTTGGTGGGGTGGGTGTGGTTGATTGTGTTTGGGGGTTTTTTGTGTTGATGATTGGACTTCGTGATCGCAGAGGTCCTCTCCAACCACAATGATTCTGTGATTCTGTGAAATGCTGACAACAGCAATGGTCTTCTTTTCTTCACCAACAAGTAAGTGAAATCAGCCAGAAGGGTTAGTTTCTTCATTGGGTGAGTCTATGCATCACATGTCAGCAAAGTTTACTTCAGTAAAGGTAAATAAAAGTTACTGTTTTCTTATCATGTAATATGGGAGAATATTTCCACCTCTTAAAAGCAACCAACATCTGACCTGAAGACCCGATTCAGCTTGAATTTCTCCAGGACTCAACTGCCAGCTGTGTGTATCCCACAAGTATTCTGCTTTTAAAGCAGCAAGTACACTGCTCAACAGCTCAAAAATTAGCTCCAGCCTCCTGTAGCTTTCAGCCTTACTGCCTGGATCAAGAGAGAACTCACTGCTTCGAGAGCTCCCAGTGCAGCAATCACAGAATCTTGGGTTGGAAGGGACCTCAAAAGATCATCCAGTCCAACACCCCTGCCAGAGCAGGTTCACCTAGAGCACATCACACAGTAACATGTCCAGGTGGGTTTTGAAAGTCTCCAGTGAAACAAGACTCCACAACCTCTCTGAGCAGCCTGACAGTAAAGTTCTTGCTCACCTCCTATGCTCCAGTTTGCACCCCTTGCCCCTTATCCTATCACTGAACATCACTGAGAAGAACCTGACTCTGTCCTCCTGATACTCACCCTTTATGTATTTGTAAACGTTGATGAGGTCGCCCCTCAGTCTCCTTGAAGCTAAAGAGGCCCAGCTCCCTCAGCCTTTCCTCATAAGGGAGATGATGCACTCCCTTCATCATCTTGCTGACTCTGCACTGGACTCTTTCCAGCAGTTCCCTGTTCCTGAACTGAGGGGCCCAGAACTGGACGCATTATTCCAGATGCAGCCTCACCAATCATCTCCATTCACTTCTTTTCCTTGGGGTTGACCATCACTGATCTTATCTCACCAGTCATTTTGTCTTCTCCATACAGAGCTGTTTTGGCTACCGAGATTCCTCCTGCTTCTGACCTTAAAATTGTCCATGCATTTTAAACCCAGTGTAAGTTCCAGCATCTGCTCCTCACTCCTCCCAAAACCAAGCGAAAGAGCACACAGTGAAAAGTCACAGTCAATACCTGTTACCAGTGCGTTCCAGGCGAGGGTCTTGACACATATCCAGCTCTGGAGTAGAGTCGATGATGTCCTGAACGTCAGACCATTCATCACTGCTGCCCATTCCTAGGTAAGACAATACATATGATCTATATAGGATCACGACTCTCAGAGGATAGTGCTCCTTGACAGGACTTTTGAAGCTTTGAAGGTTCCAAATTTCATGGTGTCAGGTTCAAAGTCTTAAAATAGGAACAGAAAGTGGCTGATCATCTAGAGCTGCAAATGCACCACTGCTGGGAAGGTGTCCTCTCAATTCCAGAGCAGGAAGACCATAAGTATCCCTTCCTCTCCACTATACCAGAGTGTCACCAGGCCTGAATCCTCATTAAAATGTGATAACCAGAAATACTCAATCTACTCAAAAAAATTCCAAATAAACTTTTTCCTGTTGGTAAAAACTCTTCAGTCACGATGCAGCTTTAGCTGAAATCAAAGACAACACTGTGATTATCTGTATAGCCTCACAGAGATTATTGTAGTTATGAATTGGCACTATTTTATTTTAATTAATTTTTCAATACCATTTCCCAAGTCTACAGCTGGTTTAGATACCCATTACAGTGAAATTTCACTTAAAAACCAAGAGATGACATCTACACTGATAGATTATCTACAGCACGAAGCCAGTAGCTAAAGAATATTTAATTTCCTCCTCTTGTCAAGACACATTTATTGGATACCAAACTGTTCAAAAGATCAGACTTGCACCTACTCTAAACAAGCAGCATGAACACAGTGTCTGTTCACACAAGAAATCCTTGAAGGACTAAAGACCTAATTATATTAGCCCTTACAATAGACCCTCAACGGTTGTTGATGTGAGATTTCTGACCTTTCCAAATGGCCTCAGTTGCCAAATATACACAGGCCCTAACAACTTCAGTGTTGATTTTCACTCTTTCAGGCTGGTACTGTGCACCATGCCAACAAATGCCATGTTTGAAGACAAAGTGTGATGTATACCTGTTGCCAAAGCAGGCATCCATCCACCAGTGGTTCTCCACCTCACAGAAACACAGACTTCCCTTTATTTTTTCAAGCCGGGAAGCTTTTCTGCAATTACCTTTGAGTATCTTTTTTTTTGGTAGTTCAGCTCTAAGGCACATGCATCACTGACAGACACCTTAATTATAGATGCATAAAATACAAAATTCAAATTCAAGTATCTGTGCTTCTCCTCAGCATGGAGGTCTGATTTTGCATTACATGTGAGAAATAGCTAGAAGGCCAAATATGCAGAGCAGGTAGGAAAGATACAATTGTCTGTCTTGAGCAGATTCCACAATATGATACTTCCACCAAGAAGAAAGAAGCTTTTACATGCACAATGACTTCAGAGCTGCACAAATACAGAGAGAGAAGACTTTGACCCAGGGAAGCTATTGATGGTAGCTCAATTTCTCTGATACTACTTCTACTGACTTGCCTTGGTCAGGATCACTGAATAGACCAGAACTTAACAGCTTAGCTACGCAGAATTCACAGGTTTTTACTGAGAACTAGTTTCTGGTAGATTGACATCTGTGACCCTGGGAACCCCTCAACTGCTAGTAAATGTAAGTACAGAATGGGACTCAGTCATGGCAATTCTCATTCAAACGCTCCAACAAAAGATGTTTTATGTTAGTTTATAGCCTTAATTTGTTAGGAATCAGCTTATGAATGTTAGCAGAGGAATTTCTTCTATATTACTTAGGAAAAAAAGACAATAATCTGGTTCAGATGCTAACTTTGGATATCTGTGCTTGTCCCTGTGCTCCTGCACACACTTTCTTTACGATCTTCAGCCAGTTTTACAGATCTTTTGTGTATTTGGTATAACGATTTTGAACTAAGAGAGCGTAGATTTAGATTGGATATTAGGAAGTATGAGGGTGGTGGCCCAGGATGCCCAGAAAGGGGATAGATACCCCATCCCTGGAAACATTCCAGGTCAGGTTCAACAGGGCTCTGAGCAACCTCATCTAGTTGAAGATGTCCCTGCCCACTACAGGGGGTTGGACCAAATAACGTTTAAAGGTCCCTTCTAACCCAAACCATTCTGTGATTCTGTAAGTTCATGACCTGTAAATCAGACTTCTAATTTCTGCAGGCTGCTGCAAGTCTAAACAGAACACAGGCTGAGAGCTGCTCAGATGCTACATTGGCACAGTGATATTAAAAAGCACAGAAAAGGACTTCTACCATGTTATTACAGAATTTTCTTTATTTAAACAGTCTGGTGCTGAAGGCTTAGGTGATGGTTTTCTTGACAAGAAATCATGAATTCAAATCATTGAAGGACTCCAGGAAGTGGAGAGAAAACAACTGTAACTTCCAAAGATTCGGGGGGTTAGAGAGAGATAGACTAAAAGAAAACAGCTTACTCAGATGAGACAAACAGCTGAATATAACTGCTATTTTAAACACATCAAGGTGTGGGATGAACACACAGAAGGAAAAGTAATTATTTACCCTGACTGATAAATTTGGCATGTGAACAACTGAATATAAAATACTTGTGAATAAATCTGGAGAGAAAACTAAATCAAAGCTTTTAAGTATCAGATTGCTGAGGTCCAGAAACAGCTTTCCAAAGGCTTATTGAGACCAAGATGGGACTTGACTGTTCATGAAAGAGGTTCTGTGACATGGATGAATGCAAATGTAGAGGACTGAATTCAACAACCTATTGCCACCCTGTATGTTTGTGAAACTATTCGTATTACTGACGTTTTAAATACCTGCTACCCAGGAAACTGCTAACACCCAGTTGGCCCCTGTCTTACTCACACATCTTTTTCTACATAAGGCCACCTCAAATTCTATACTTGTGAAGCTGTTTGTCCCTCAGACTCACAACCTCTTCCTGTAACAAAGGGACACAAGCACTAGGAAGTCAATTACTTCAATGACCAAGTATCCGAGCTCCAGCTTCCATACCTATGCTGACATTCCTCATCTCCTGTGTGACCTGGACTTCCATGTTCCGGCTGTTCCTCTTTTCTCGTGCCCTCCTATTGCTCTTGCCTGTGCTGTTGTACTCGCCGATGGGCTGGATGCTCTCATTTAAGGGTGTGACAGCAGCAGATGGCACAGATGACGTGGGAGTGTTGGACTTGGTTCCAGTGGTGCTTGGTGTGGCAGCTGCTGAGGACTGTCCAGATTCAGACATTTCATCTTGGGGACACTATGGCAGTTAGAGGGTGGGGGAAGAACAAGAAGGGAAAAGCACAGCTATAAATTTCAGTTAATCTCCCATTTGTTGGTGTATGGCTGCCTTAAAGCATTATGGAGAATGAGTCTGGCTCACTACACCAGCTACATGTTCAGCACTGGGCACTGAAACCACAAGGAAGCAGTGAGTTCTTGTGCTGAACTCAGCAAGCAAATCCCACCTGAGAAAGGATTGACATCCCTCCTCTTTTACTACTAAGCATTATTTTCAATGAGTCACATGAGTATGTGAACTCTTAATCATGCACCTCAGGAAAGGTGGCACCTGTAGCTCACAACGACAGTGTGAAAGCTTAAAGGCTTGGGCACTTGTGGTAAGCCAGGCCAGCATTTCCCAAGAATGAAGGCAACATGGACATTGCTTAGGAATGAGCTGAAGTAGCCTCTTTAAAGGTCTTTGATGATGTCATTGCCATAAGCCCTCAACACAACCTGGATGAGAGAACAGCAAGATGGTTTTGACACTAAACTGCAGAAGCAAAGCAGACACCAAGCAGGGATAGTCTGACTTTGCTAGTGCAGGAGACCTGTGTCCCCACACCACCTTATGCAGAAGCTAGCCAGGCATGGGTCCAGCTTGACAACACAGCAGAAACAGGTGTGGTCTCCCCCCTTCCCAATGATAGGATGACAAGACCCAAGAATTGAAAACTCAAAAGCTGACAAATTAACATAGGAGATGGATTCCCTGTGTGAAATGAGCTCTCAGTTTTACAGACATTACAGCCCCATTGCTCGTAATACCACCTTTGAAAAACATGGGAGGCTTTCAAGACTCTGTCAAGATTTTGTCCTGTGACCCTTTATCAATTAAAGCAGCATTGCTTCACAGTCAGCCAATTAACATCTTGGCCAATGCTGTGATCACTCCTGGACCCAAATGAGATCTCCAAATTCTTCATGGCAGCTCACTAATTGCTGCCTCCAGGGAGATGACAAAATCCATGTTGAGAGCTGCAGGTGATAGTGAGTTGCAACCAGGTGCAGTGACATTCAGCATCTGCACATCCAGACCCAGCTTTTATCTTTGCTATCTGCCTCCTCCCGCCTGTGCAAGTACCAGAAAGATCCTGATTTTGCTCAGAGGTTGCTCTGAGCCTCCCAACCTTGGAGCTGTGACACTGTTTCACTTCACTAATTTGGAAGTCTTGTTCTCTTGTTCCAATAATAACTTCATAACATGACAAAAAAAAAAAAATAAAAATGGGATGAGAGAGAAGTCTGAAAGAAAAATGGTGACTTAACCCTTTGCAGCCTATTTTTAAAAAAATCTGGAATGTTATTAAGATCTTCCTTTAATTAGACCAGCCTCTATATGTTCATCTTCAAATACTCTGCTGTACATTGCACTGTGGAAGTCAAAGGTTTTATGTAGCATCTGTGCATTTATATTGCAAATTAAGATTTTTTAAAAATTGCTTGACCACTAAATATGACCCACTTTTATACACAGTTTCTGCACTGTCAGTCCCAACAGCAATCACATTCCCACACAGACACTGAAATCACCTCCCTGCACACTTGCTGATTTTAGCATCAAGACAGAGATGGGGACTTTTCACTTAGGCTGCTATGTGTGAAAACCACAGTTCACACCTCTACTTCATATTCCTGTCTGGGAGCTACTTTCCTAATATGCAAAGAAAACAAAAATATCAAACTATGTTTTTGAGAACAAATATAATCCAGCAAGCTTTGTACTACTTCCACTGCAGTTTGCCTGCTGTGCTTTCTAATGCACAGAGGGACAAAGTATCAAGTGTAAAGTGAAACCATAAAGCTTCTTTTCCCAAACTAAACTTCTGTTGGATGAAAGGATTCAGAGATGTTCTTGCACCTGCTGTAAATCTATAAGCATAAACAAAGTCGATGAGTGTCTCAACACTACAGAAGACACCCAGGTATGCCCACATGTCATTCCTTGCTCTGCTTAAGAGAGTCCAAGGGAGGCCAAGAAGATGATGAAAGGACTGGAACATCTGCCTGATGAGGAGAGGCCAAAAGACCTGAGGTTCTTCAGTCTAGAGAGAAGTCTGAGGGGGGATCTAACTAATGTCTATAAACACATGAGGGCATCAAGAAGACAGGGACAAGCTCTTGTCATTTGTGCCCTGTGACAGGGCAAGGAACAATGGATTCAAACTCAAGCACAGGAAGTTCCACCTCAACATGAGGAAGAACTTTTCCTCTGAGGGTTACAGAGCACTGGGACAGGCCGCCCAGAGAGGCTGTGGAGTCTCCTTCTCTGGAGGCTTTCAAGGCCTGTCTGGATGTATTTCTGGGTGATCTGCCCTGGTTTTGGTCGTGCTCCAGCAGGGGGGTTGGACTTGATGATCTTCAGAGGTCCCTGACATTCTCTGATTCTGCGATTCTTAAGAACTAGCTGTCATTCAGAAACCCAGTATCATTAGTGTCTATAGGGCAATATATGTATCAGAGAGAACCTGTAGCTTCTTGTTTATTGACATAATCTGCCCCTCACTCAGAACACACCACTAACTATCCTGGTGTCTCACTTTTTGGTTATACATCCAAATTTTGTATTTACCTAGAAAACACACTCCACCAACCTACCAGCCTGAACTGGAGAAATGCCTCCCAAATATCATTACTACCAAGGTGCTCCTCTTCACAGTCCAGAAGCTCTATTAATCTTTGCTGGTACCTTCCTTCTATTGTCCTGAGGGCTTCATTAATGCTAAGGACTCCACCAAGTGTATGGCTCTTCTCTACAGCGTAGAAGATATTCTCCATAACCCACAGCTCACCCAAAGAGTATTCTCCATAACCACCACTTACCTACAGCCATACCTGCCAACCTCCTAAACATCAAATGTGTAGTAGTGACCTCCAAAATGCATTGCAAAGGCCCAAAATTCATAGCAGTCATATGTCACCATGAGAAGCCACAATTGTATGGTATACTGAAAGTATAGTACATAAAAACAAAAATGTTAAGGACTTTAATCTCCAAAACATTACATAAAATAAATGTAAAACTGAATGTAAAAATTAAATAATATAATGAGAGCAACTAAAACAGAAAACAATAAGTATAAACTACAGTATGGCCCCATGAAGAAGGAAAACTACTCAGAAAAGTCAGGATATACCTACTGGGAAGGTGAGTCATGTATGTGCAGATGATGTCAGTGAAATGTCAGAGCTGTTGAAGAAAAGGCAAGCAGTGCATGAGCAGTACTGCTGAGATTGCAGTCATGCAAAATATCTAAGAAACAGCATTCCAGTCAGAGTGTGCAAGAAGCTCGCAGGAGGAAAATCTCTTCCAAATTGCAAATTTAGTAAGTCAGTCAATCACATCCTTCAATTGTTCATTGGTTTAAACGCTCCATACTCTTATAAAATCCTCCATAACACACTACCCCAAGTCTTCCAGAGACGAAGCTAACTCCACACTATCAGCTAGTCTCCCTAAACCCAGCGTCCCACTTCTAACTTGCCCTAGTGAGCACCAACAAAATCCCAGCACTACTCATCAGACACATCTGGAGTAGCACACCACTACTTCCACAGAAAACTTTCTTGTAACCAGAAACTGGATTTTTTTGCCTGACATCACCACTAACAAACTACCACAGATCTGGTCAGTAACCCTCCATTACCTGAACTTGGACATCAAAGCTTCCAGTTTATCTGGGTTCCTGTTGATTCTCCTGCAATGCATACGCTGGGTTACCAGTAAGATCCTCTCAACTTCTTTCAGAAGTTCCGCAATGGTACCAATTAAAGAATTACACCTTAGCAAGTCTGTGGAAGAGGAATCTAACCTCAGTGACCTCTCAGGTTTTCTTGAAAAATGAAGCCCTGATCACTAGAGAGCTCAAGGGCACATTCACACCTTGGTGTGCAGCACTGCCTGGAGACCCCAAGGAATCAACTGGTTCCAGAACCAGAAGTAGCTGTTTTCTGGGTATTCTGGTTGCTGCCTGTGTCCTTGCAATGCTGTAGTGTTGTTACATCACTAGTCTGAAGAAACACATTCATTTTCACCATGCTTAACTACATTATCACACTGTGGCACTGCTGTTCTCTAACTCTTCAGAAGAGACTGTAGGACCCAACTGGCAACCTGCAAGTTGCTACATGTCCCAAACATTTGTGCCTCTAATGCTACAGCCAGGGTTGGATGCCAAGAATGGTCTCCACCCTACCCAAAAATTTTGGGTGTGGATTTCCAACTTCCATGATGGCAGAGGACTGATGGAGTGCTGAGGTTTGCACTGTGCTAGGCCTGGCTACTTTGCAAAGGCAGTGCTATAAAACAGAAGTTGCTGCTTTGTTTTCTGTGTAAATTTTGAATTTGCCTAAGTTTCTTGCCCTATGCAACAAGGAGGCCACTCCTACAGGGTCCCTCAGGCTGAAACACCATTAATGTAATTTGGAGACATGTGGAGCCAGTACAACAACAAACTGGGTTTCTCCTTGTTGTTGTTTTTTTCTTCCTCTTTGCCTTTATTGCCTCCATGAATTTTACAGGTAATTTAAAACATCTCAAAAGGAGAAGAGTGACATATAACACCTGATGTTCTACAAATTCCAGGCAGAGAGCAAGCCTGTTTATCTGACACTCTTGAAACAGACCAGAAACCAGTATCTCACAGAGGTGCTGGGTAGATGCACCACTGCCTCTCAGGCCTGTCACTGGGCATTTGTGGAACATCATTCAAGGAAAGGATCCTTGGTGGGAGGATCCTGAGCACAGGGACTTTGAGAAGTCTAGAGGTACAGCTCATGGGAAATGTGGATCACTGTCTGTAGTCTACTGTAGGCAACTGTAGTAAACTGTAGGCAACTGCAGTGAGCTGTCAGCTAAGACTACAACATCTGGGTCTTTAGGCTCAGAGCAGTCTCCAAATGGCAGAGCACAGCACCACAAGCAACAGGCAGAACCATGCAGCTGTTTCAGCCCAGCTGCAGTGCTCTGAGCTTTTTGCCAAGCCCCAGGGCAGAAGGCAATACATTGAAGGTGGCAAGTGTATTGAAGGTAGACAACGCAAGTCTAGAGCAATGAGAAACAGCAGATCCTTAAGCACAGTACAAGACTTGGGCATCCAGAGAGGATCAGGAGTCCTTTTCACTGAAAACAGGAAGACCAGAACAGCCATCAGTCAAAAAGGACAAATACTGGAGAGCAAACTCTCAATGCCTGGTGCCAGGTGAGGTGCAAAAGCACTGCTCATATCAATGGGAGAAAAGGGACAGGTTCCAGCACTTCTTCTCCCAAATAAGTTATAAAAATCTGACAGATTTCTCTTCCTTAAACCTCTAATTGCCTCCCCATGCACTCCTCTCAACTTGGGGTCAGCCAAGTAAAGGAGATTATCACTGAGACAAGAAGCATGAGGAGCTGTGTTAAATTCCTCCTGCACCATATGCCAGATCTGCAAAAGAAAACCCTCCCACCAGAGCAGAGCTATCAAAGGAGCAGACCCAGGGCAGGGAGAGGCTGCAAAGGGTTATGGACATAAAACTGGTCTCTATCTTATGAAAACTTGCGATGCTATTGACAGGGTGAGAGCGGGAAACCCTTGCTCCGTGATGGTCTATAAAACCTTGTAGCTGGAGTTGGACTGCAGCTGGCCGAGGTCACTCAGGTGCCAGTAGTCAAGTGTTGGGATGGTCTTGGCCCCTATCTGCCCACGTACCATGCCATCCGCGAGGGGGAAGACATTCAAAGAGTTAGGACGTTCCTTCCTGCTAAACAGAGAAAAAGAGAGACAGGAAACCAATCTGTTAGCTGCTTACAAGTTCTTACAGAAAAGGAACAGCACACCAGTTTCTGTGAAATACTAGTCACTGGAAATTGAATTACATTCATTCACCTTACATAGCAACCATATGAACTCCCAAATCCCATGCTTCCATGGTGTTGCCTACTCAGAGCCATGATATCTACTGCTAGAGCCTTCCTTCTTCCTAGAGAGACTCTAAGGTGGAGTGGGTAAGAAGACCACAACAGGAACAACTCACTTCTCCAGCAGTACCAACCATGCAAAATGTACAAAACTGCAGTGAATGCACAAGTGCAGGGAACCATCAGCCCCTGAATGTCAGTGTGCCTTCTGAGACACAAAGGTACTGTGAGAAAACAATCCACAGCAAACTATTCTGATAGAAACAAAAAAGCTTCCACAGATCCTAGAGATGTCATCACTGGGTCAGGAAAGGGGCTTTTTAAGTAAGTAATTTTCATGGCACTTCGGTACATTGCACCCCAAATCTGGTTAGGTTCAACAGCAGAAATCAGTAGGTTTTGGGTCACTTCCAATATTAAGCAAGAAAAATAATACTTGTACTCTAATCCCCTCTCCATACCCATGTTACAATGCACTCAAAAGTCAGAAATTAAACAAAGGTATAAATCATCATTCATATCGCCACATGTCTGCAATTACGTTCTCTTCATCTTCTTTCTGGCAACTGCAGGCGACTAGCTAGCTGTGGGGTTGATTCTGAATACAAAGGCTGGCACAGATTTTGCGGCCAAGTTCCAATGGTATAAAATCGAGAGCAAGGAGTGAAGGTGGAAAAGGCTGAGGCAGCTTGCTGAAACCAGCAACTGGTTTTGTGCCAGAGCAGCAGGTCTGCAGGGACATAGAGCACACCCATTGCAGGGGTATCCCCAGCAGCCTGCTGGACACCAATGGCCCTGCAGAGCTGAACTGAGCTGCGGGGCATGCACCCACAAAAGGGTTCCATGACAGTACTTCACCAGCTGCTGTAAGGAGCTTCTGCTTATTGGTGTGGGGACTGATAAAGCCCACCTTTCTGCACACCAGTATTAATAACAGCAGACCTTCATGTGCCTTTCTTTGATGATCACCAGCACTGGACTGATGATCAGGCCAGGCACCCATCACAGCCACCTCACCTCACCTGGGTGAAATGACTGCAGCAGGCCTATGGCCCCCTGTGACGTATGCAAACACACCAACACAGGAGATGGTGCACCAATCAGCTCTTTTATGAAGGAAGGAGGTGGAATGTCTAGCAGAGGAGGCAATGCTGGTGGAGAAATCCCAAAAGCCCAACTTTGCCATTCTCAGCACTGCCTGGCCAACACCATGTCCCACCCTGTTGTGTCAGAGCTGCTCACCACGGACTGTCTTGGATAGGCAGAAGGGATAGGAAGGGCTTCCCAGTGTGGCCCCACAAGGAGATCTGGGACACATTCTTCCTAAGAAACTGCACTAAAATCCTCTCCTGAAGGATACATGGAAGGCTCATACATGGAAGTTTCACAAGCAAATCCTGTGAAAGGTGGCACATAACTGGATTTTAGAAGAACACAGATTGTTGACACAACCTAATTGCCATTAGTTACTTTTGTAGAGGGGATACAATCTTTCAACTGATTCAGAACCCGGTTCATATATGATAGGGATTGAGTTTCCTTGTATCTTTTCCACTCAAAAGGTTTATAGAAAACATCCCACTGCTGTTTGCCTAAATACTGATTTATGACCTCCATCCTACCATTTACACCTGCTCCTAACAGATCATGATGCCAAAGTATATTTACCTCTGTCTGTCTGACTTTGTTTACCCCTCTTTACCCAACTGCTAGCATTCCAAGACCCTGAAAGTTTCTAACAGCCCTGTTTTTCCCAGAATATGACATCTTCACCCTTGGTCCTGTAGTGATTTAAAAGTCACAAAAAGTATAGTCAGTCATGTCTAAGAGATTATGAAGAGATTCAAAATTAGAACTTTCTGAAAAAAGACAGAAAATTCCTAGTTTTACAGTTAAAGAAGTAATTCAGGGGTCCCAAAAAGTCTACTTCAAAAGAATAATTCTTACTGGGGGGAGGAGGAGAAGCGAGACCATTTTTTGAGTTGCTTTAACCATTAGTTTCATATATTTTCTATTCTTCAGGTTGGAATGATGGTCTTAAGGAAGTCACGCATCTCAGGTGCATGCAGCTGGAGAAAATTCTCTGTAACTGCAAAACATTCCTTGCAAAACAACTGATGCAGTCAGAATATGTAACTAAATGCTACAATATAAGTGATTTTGTAACTATGCTGAGATGGCCTGAGTAACTCACTGGAAGCACTGAGAAATATGCTGAGAGAGACACTAAATTATACTTCCTCTTTAGGTAATCTCTACCAGATTTCTTTTGGGGATCCACAGCTTATTTCTACATTCATATACAAACGCATGCACATTTAACATGCAAGGAGACACTTCATCCCATTGAACGCACAATGGATGTATGAACTTCAAAGTCCCTGCTAAACAGAGATAGACGTATTAAGTCTTTGGAGCATCAGAAGCTGCAAGATCTTCAGGAAAGGATTTTAGTATAGATTGTTAGGAAATTTCCTTGCTGAGTTTCTCTAGGAACACCTTCCAGCCTCTTCTAAACTTCCAACAGAAGGGGAAAGAGCAATCACTACAGAAGAGTTAACTTTAGCTTTGCAGTCCTACCCATCTTCAGAGAACTTCAGAGTATCCTCAGGGCTGATCTAAATTTTGAGTGCTGGAGTAACCTTCACACACCAAATTATTTCCAGTAGAGGGTGACTTTTAACACTCGATTAGCTCCACCTTGCATTACAAGGTAAATAGCAAAGTCCTCAATAAAGGTTTGCAGTAGCCAAAACCCAAGATCAGGATGCTCTACGTGTAACAAAAACATGACAAACCAATTACTTTTTTTGCCATCATTTAAAGATGAGAACTGCTCTCAGTGCAGAGGTTGGGCCCAGAATCACTGCCCAGCGCAAAGTGCCTTTGGAAAGTCACTAATGGTGAGACGCATTTTCTGCCCAGCACAGAATACACACGTGCTTTGCACTCCATAGTAATATAAGGGAGAAAAGATGACTTTAAAAACGTTCTGGGACATGAATTGCAAATGTCCAATCACAGAGGACTGATCCTCTTTTGGGACTGAACTTCTGTGTCTTCTGTTTTTGAACCCAGAAGCTGCTTCCTAATCTCCTTCCCCAGCAGCTGCCCTCATCAGAATGAGTGAGTGTAACGTTGCAGGTGGGTACTGTGGGCAGACATGCAAGCCCAGTACAGTCCCAGCATCACCCTATTGCCACTCAAGAGCAACCTCTAAAAGTAGGATTAAAGCAGTTAACATGCAGCAATAGGATTTACCTTTTCCTCCATGACTGGCGATGACTGCAGTGACAAACATAACAGCCAAAACAGAGCAGCAATCACACAAAAAGCGAGACAGAAAAAACAACCATTAGAGAGCAAAGGTCATGCAAACATGCAGCCCTACAACATCCAGGGTGTGTGCACATCTTGTAATCCACACCTCATGGAAGTGTGCCTCATACTCATCCCCTCTGCTGAATGGCAATCTTCACACCCCCCCCAGTTCTTGCACAAACTTCTCCCAAGGGACAGGCAGACATACGCAGGGTACTTATAGCCTGATGCAAATATGCACCCCTGTGCAGTCTAACACACCCAAGCATATCCACAGATTAAAATTAATGGATGTACTCAACTTTGTGTGACAGGTCATGAGAAATCATGCCTGTGTTCACCCCAGTGCACATCAGTGCACCAAGATACATCAGTGTTGGTGTTTGCCCCACCCAGCTGTGCAGTGACACAAACACATATCTGTCCTGAGTGCTTGTGTACAAGCATTTACAAAAACAGAGCTACACACACACTCAGGCACACCAAAAGCTTGAAATGAAGGAGGAAGACCCATTTCCCACTGGTGGTTCCTCCAAACTCAGATCACAGCCCATCAGGGGCTTTCAGAGATGTGTTTCTCTTTTTCCCTCCAAGATGACTAACAATATGTCTGGCTTAAAAGGATAAAAGACTAATTTTTCTAATTTAAGTGACAATTCTTGATGAAAATTTTGCTCTTCAGCCCAAAGAATAGCAGATATAACCGGTAACACTTTCACTGTGCATCTCTGTCATGGGATAATAGCAAGAACCCACAATTTATATTAGTTTATTTGAAAGTTGGGGAATGAAAACCTAATTAAAATCACTTTTTACCATGCAATCCCACTCAAATTTGGCAGATGCATATGTGAACCACCCTTTAAAACAAAGAGGCCCTGAGCATTCCTTTGCTTATAGTACTTTTGTACTTAAGTGTGTAGGTACTTTTGCAGATAAATTTTATTTACAGAAAGGTTAAGTGGGGAGGGAAACAAGCCTCACACACTTGTCCCATTTCAGCTGTAATACTAGAATTAGAGCATGTTCTGGGAGCTGACTGTGGACTTCCAGAAAGCCAGGGGGAGGGGAGAAGGAACTGTCTGATAAGAGAGGTTTTAAGAACAGAAGAACCCCTACAAACTACTGGTACTTCTTACACCAGGTACTTCCTTGCTTTCCACATCACCTTTCTGTCTCTTTTGCCTAGGAAGGCTGACATCTATGTTTCGATTTTTTTTTTCTCCAATAGATTTTTATATTTTTGACAATCCAATTTTAGCCAGACCCCAAACACTGTATTCTGTAATTATTTGTATTCTCCTAAACTGATGTACTTTGTGTGATTAATTTACTGCTTTGCACAACATACAGCACAGAGATAATTCACTGTATCGCCCACCCAACAACTACAACAAGCTTTAATTATTCCTCTCTGTAAGAAATACTCTTAAGATATTATTCTCTGAAAGGACTATTCGACTGTCAGGAGAGGAAGGCTAAATAGTCCCCCTTGATTCACATGCAATTGTCTTTCCTTTCTTTATGTAACATTTTGGTAGCCTTACAAATGAGAGTATAAAAATCTTATCAGCTGGTTCAGAATAAATAAGGGATCTTTACATGTACTACAGAAGTACATGTAATTATTATTGGAGATAATGAAGTAACAAATAGACCTAGGGAAGTGGTCATAGCTTCAAGCTTGTTCGTGTTCAAGAAGTGTATGGACAATGCTCTTAGAGATATGATTTAATCCTTAGGTTGCCCTGTGTGGGGTCAAAAGTTGGACTCAATGATCCCGGTGGGTCCTTCCAGCTCAGGACAGTGTGTGACTGTAAGGCTGCAGGGAATCTGGCAGGAGTCCCAGGCTAGTTACCTAAGTTTCTAAAGATGCATGTATTTTACTACTCCCTCTAACATCCTTCCATTGATAAGGTGTGGTTTGGTATCTTTTTCCTCTCCCATTTTCTTTCACACAGTCAAAATTTTGGCAATTGGAATTCAGTCTTTTCCAGAGCAGTTCAATGCAGCAATAAGGAGCCACAGCAGACAGAGGGTATTTAAATGTATTATGCCAAGGCCTGCAATTTCATTTCTATCACATTATCCCAAAACCAACTGACATTCTGGTGTCCAACATTCACCTAAGTGTTCCAAGTTACTAAAATATCTTAACTTATTCTTCCTTTATTGTTACAGTATTTCTTTATTCTATATTTAAAATAATTTTAAAATAATTTCCTCATCTCCAAATCTTGCTCAATGCTCTTATCTTGTATTTCATCATCCCTACCAGATGATACTTCAACAGCCTTCCTCGCTTTCCATTTCTGTGTTTTCATCTCCATGTCTCTGCTCACACTGTCCTGTTGTATAGTCTGACATGTCATCCTCACTTTTTTTTTTAGCCAAATGCCTCCCAAAGATTTCATTTCTGAGTGAAGTTCAGTGATATTAAGCAGCTGAAGTTCACAAGATATTAACCAAGATCAGTCACACAAGTGTTGCAAGAGATGAGAGAGGATGCTCCTTGCAGACACTCTTCTCTGGGTTAGGCAGACAGAGCCTTCCTGTGTTAGACATCAACACACAGAGTAATCTGTCAAACATGAAAATTTCCATAGAAAACATCTTTATTATGGCTCAGTAATTTAACAGATTATGCCTAATCTGAACAGATTATGTGTTATGGAATCTATTAATTCTCTAACCAGTATTTATGTAACATCACTTCCACTTCTCACCCCATGGACAATGTTACATCAGAAGGAAAGCTAACACACCAGTTAAAACAGACGAAATCAAACAACTGCCAACTTTTGTGCTTTAAATGTGTTCTAAAATGACAAAAAAAAATAGTTCTATATAATGAAATTTCCTACTACTGCCTTCTTTAAACAAAGGCTGGTTCTTGCTGGTTTGGTGCTCTGCAAACGGTGGGGGTGGGGAGGGAGGAAAATCAATTCTGACTTACAGAAAGCTTCCCTTGAAGGGCCAGCGGAAAAAAAAAAATCCTATAATGGCTAATGGACTTAATTACTATGGGTTTGCTGGCTATCACGCATACAAAGGTACACACACACAAATATTTTGTTTGACACTTCCATCCATTTTATAGACAAACCCTTATACTGGAAAATATGTATTTCTCCAGAGGCCCCTATCAACAGCAGTGTGACAAAGCCTGTGCCTTCTAACAGAACACATAAAGCTCCTCCTTGTCAAGCCATAACTCACCCAAAATCCACAAACGCACAAAAAAACTTCAACTACAATCCATGCCCACAGGAAAAAATCCTGCTTCTGGTTTTTCTCTCTCAAATATGCACACTCAAGTTTGTAAGTTCCCGGACGGCATATGGTACCTGAAGAGGTTATGGTCCTACCTTCTCCCAGGCAGACTACCCTCTGTTTGATTATTTCCCCCAGCCTGCTGCATTTTGGATCGCTCAATGTGTTCTACATAGGTCTGGATCATCTGTGAGGAGAGAAAAATCCATGAGCCATATAGAGGAGAAGAAAAGAAAAGAAAAAAATAAAACAAAACTAAAAACATTCTGCTGTTGGTTGATCTTCTCCAGCATCCATTTCCAACTCCCTTTATTTGCACATACTCATCTTAAGCCAATGATACAAGTGAAGGGGTTAATCTGATAGAGAACCTGATAGCAAACGGTGTCTGAAACCACTTAATCGCGTAACAGAAGAGCCATGAAAGGTCATATCCAAAAATAGCATGTCACCTGGAGGCTCACCGGCAGTGGGAGATGAGGTAGTGGGGCATGATCACAGAAGAGTTGAGGTTGGAAGGCATCTCCTGGGGTCCACCGGGTCAAATATCCCTGTTTGAGCAACCTACCTAGAGTAGGTTGCACGGGACCATGTCCAGGTGGCTTTTGAATATGTCCAAAGATGGAGACTCCACCATGTCTCTGGGAAACCTGTGCCAGTGCTTGCCATCCTTACAGTAACAAAGTTTTAATGATGTTCAGAGTGAGCCTTTTGGGTTCTCATTTGTGCCACCTGCCTCTGGTCTTGTCCCTGGACAGTACTGAAAAGAGCCTGGCTCCATCCTCATGACACCCCCCATTCAGATATTTCTTATGTTCCAAAGTTCAGAAGCTCTAGTCATTGCTAGTACTGTAAAGTTGAATTATTTGGCATGACTTTACATTAGATTAAGAGTTTATTTTTTTAAAAATAATGAGATGACATCCTACCTCTGTATGACGCTGATGTAGAGCATTATACTCTTTCTTCATTTCTGATTCACGTTCCTCCAGTCGTGAAACTACCAAGAGAAGATTTCAACTGTCAGCTAAGACACATGAGGCTCTCAAAGAAACTAAACACCTCAAAGCATATTTTGTTAGAAATTAATTTGCATCTACTGAACAAAACATACAGAAGCAGAAAAATGCACACTGTAGGATCTGGTTACCATTACAAACTCACTTCATGGGTACCTTCATGCTCCCCAAATGAGCAAACCAGGTAGTGCAAAGCAGAGTTCTTCAGCAGTAGCCTAGTGCCCTGTAAGTGTTCAAGTTTGACAACAATTTCAATTATCCTCCACACTGAGCATCTCCAGCTATCTGAGGAGCAGGAGTACTGGAAGAAACACCAATGAGCTTTGAGGGGAACCTCAGCCAATAAAACCCAGCTACACATGTGAAGGAAGTATTTGTAAAAATAAACAAACAAATATGATAGTTTAATAAGAAAAAAAATGGGAGGTTCTGTTCAGGGACATCGACAAACTGGAAACCAGGTTCTGAAGCTTCACTAATGGCCCAAATCTTGCAGCTGGAGAGACTGAGCATAGAGAAACACAAGGGAAACAATGATGCCTCTACTAAAGTAGTGTGGATACATCCCATCATTTAGAAGGCTCAGAATTTTATACAAAAGTAAGGGATAACCAGACATTTCCTTTGTGTAAATTACATTAAAACAAACAAAAAGCATGAAAAACATGTTCTAAGTAGCAGCATATATGTGTGGAAGGCAAAGTGTATAACCATTCCCAGTGTACAACTTTGCTTACTCTGATCTGCATAGTTTTTGGTCTTCAGCTCCAGCTGTCGAGTCTGAAATTCAAGGTGTTCTACTTGGATTTGTAATTCTTTCTTCTCCTGCTCCAGTGCATCTTCAAACTCTATAAACTTCTGAATAGGGAAGAAGCAGAGAAAGACACAGATGAAGAATAAACATAAAATGTACTTGCCCTGCACGACTTTTCTTCTCCTCACAAAAAAAGAAAAATTGAGAGAATCTAAATTACAAAATAGGAAATACTAAATGTTAAGTACCGTAACTAGTACAGTAACATTTCATCAAGCTGAAGAAACTATTAAAAAGTATTAGCTATCTTTAATGTAAAATTAATATACAAACTACAGTCCAACAAGTGTTACGCAAACCAGCACAACTCTATCATCTTCAATAACCTTGTTCTTACTTGTTCCACCCTGACTTTTGATTCATGTTAATTTGATGTCAGATTAGGGCAAATTCTACTTCTGTGCTAATATATTTACAAATACATACATCAAAAACCTTCAGACCAATTCTATTTGTGCAGTTTTGGAAAGCTTCACCTATAACTCACATGGTGGTTACGTTTTGCAGTAATGCACAAGTCTTTTGGAAAACACATCCACAGCTCCAGACAGCTGTGAGCAACCTCTGCACTCAGGAAAAGTGACCTGCCACAGCAGCAAATGAATGCAGCAGATGAGGGAAGGAGGAGGGAAACAGGCAGAGGAGGAGATTCCCTCAGTAAAATTCAACCAGTTTTTACACCTAGCAAGAAAAGTCTTGGCTTGCTGCTCTAGATGAAGAGGAGAGGGAAGGGACCAGCTTTGCTAACTCTCACTAGCGATACCAAAGGGGCAGCTGTGCACATAGCAGCGTAGACTCCTGCACTTAACACCGGGCTGAAGGAAAGATTTTTAGATATTCACAATGAAAATGCAACAGAAAAATACCTAATTTCAGGTTGCTATTTCTGTAAAATGTCACTTTTGACCAGGAAGCTTTAGACATTCTCTGTTTTGGATACCAGAATTTGCAGCAGAGAGAAGTAAAATGTGCAACACGCAATTTAGCTCCATTGCAGTGAATTGATATTATGCATTACTCTTAAAGAGTTGCTTTCATGAAATATGTTTCACGGGCTCCCTAGAAAGTAAATAGTGCCTTCAGATCTCTGCCCATCCTTAGGCAAGCCTGGTTCTTGCACTATAGGTGGTGAAGAGGGATTTTCAGCACAGAAGACTAAGACATATCCATACCCATAACAGCCCATGATCCAGGCCTCCAGGCTCAGAAGCTGAACTGGGTTTTGTAACCGTCCTGACACAAACTTGCAGTAAAATCAACAGGGCTCAGAAAATGTATGCTCTGTTAACCACATACATCCCCCCTACAGCAAACCAAGCCTAACGCACAGTCCCACCATGCTTCCCATGGCATAGTGTAGCAAAGCTATCTCACTAGCTTCAGAGTAAGTCCTATCTTGGCCTTACAAACTCAAAAGTTACTCTAAAACAGCTACATCCAAGCAAGCAAAAAAAAGAGAGTTGTCTGCACCAACCTGTCCAGTTACTAAAACACAAACTCATCAGTTGAGCCACAAGAGCTGGACTGCTGTTGGGAGCAGACCTGACAGCAGAGCAAGAAAGAGCAGGAAATTAAGCCAAGATGGCTCTAACCTACCTTTAAGATGTTTACAGGACAAGAGGAGCCCACTTAGGGCTATGAGGAGCTCATGAGTGTGCTCTACCCCTGGCCCTGCCTCTCTTGCTCTGTTTGGTCCCAAAATGCTTCATAGGTTGAGCTCCATCAGACTGACATGCACACCAGCTGTTTGGAATCTCTACAAGTATGAATACTGGGAAAGAAAAGCCTTCTCTTACCCCCCCTCTGTTCTGCAAATAATGCCACCCTGGCAATTTTAATTTAACAAAGAAAAGTCTCATTGTACTCTAAAAGAGACAGACTACAGTGAAAACAATTTTTAGATAAGACTCCCAAGGAAACAAATGCATTTTAAAATGCACAGTAAGATTATTTTGATAAATTCTGCATGTGGAACTATGCACAGTATTTAACTCCGTTTTCAGGATAAGCCATGTGTACGTTCCATATTGCTCTTACAGGAATAATTAGCAGTGACACTGGAGCCCCCATTATGTTCATGAACAGGACCTTCACTCTGTAGATGACTGAAAGGCTTCCTCGCTTATTATTCCTGCAGACTTTTAAAACTCTTCAGTAACTTAATCTGAACAATGAGTCAGTTTTCATTCTTACATACCTGTATTTATAGAAACAATCAAACACATTTTAGCCATGTCTCATTTTCTTGTACTCTGTGCTCTGCAGTGCTCTTGATCTTTCATTGGCTTTTCACTTTCTTTTCCTTCCTGCTCAAATGTATTGCACTAAGGGCTTTTCCCCCTTACGTTTTTTTTCCAGCAGTATTTTCTAGAAATAACAGAAATGCCAGTATCTTTCTCCCACTATAAAGCAGTAACTTTAGAGGCTAAACATGTATTTTTTAATTAAGTTTTAAGAGTGTACAAGATTTTAGATTTTTACGTGTTTTTTCCTCTGAGATGTCAATTAAACATTGAAATCACAGAGTCAATCATAAACATCCAGCAATATTTTTTATTAATTTTAATAAATTCATAAAGCAATCTGCTTCATGTATTTTCAGGTTTATTCTTGAAATGTTTTCCAGAATGATATCATTTAAAAATGAGCAAAAAGGGGAAAAAAACAAAACAAAACACAATAACAGACACAGCTACACAGACCTAGAGAAGCAGCAGTTTAACTGAGGACTGAATGAAGCTAAACCAACAAAAGAGCTATTTTCCAGGTATGATCTCCTTGCAGGGTTTTGTGGAACCACTCTGTGCTAAAACTTGATTGATTCATCCTTTTAATTACAGCCAACGGCTGAATCCCCATCATGTTGCACTGGCTCAGCTTTCATTGCCCTCTTGGCTTGAGATGCCTTCCTGCATCTAGTTCTCCATCCATGAGCATGCCACCGGGCAAGCTAGGAATTATGCTTTTAGCAGCAGTAAAAATGAATGGACATTAAGGAAAACATTCAACTCAATAGTAAATTAGGAAGCAAAAGAAACCCTATTTTATTTCCACTATGTAGGTCATCTTTAATAGGATTCCTGAATTTCGTACAGCTGTTTTAATTCAGAGGAAACTGGTGGAAAGATTAAACCTTCTCCAAATATGGTTCAGTCTCCTTATTCAGTCCCATCTATTTTGCAACCTTGAAGTAACCAAAGAAAACTAAAAATCAATTAACAGTGGTTGATTGGAGAAAAGAGAGACATGGAGACAACAATATTAAAAATTAATTTTACCCTAAGTATTCTCAGGGAAGGACCACATTTCAAATGTACTGCAGTATATCCTGGCCTGTCTGCTGAAGAGATCAGGTGATGACAGCTGAGCATGGGGACCCAAGGGCTCTTTGCTCTGCCTGACTCTGCAGCACATTTTAGCTGGTCCTGCATCAGAAGCCATCTCACCTGAGGTTCTCCCTGTGCATCAGAAGGGCTGAGAGCAGGAAAAGTCCCAAATCCAGAAAGGAGTGAACAGCCACACCAGCGGGATGGGGAGGAGAGGTTTCAGAACCAGGGCTGTCCCTGCTCCTGCCTGAGCACATGCTGCCACTGCCAGTCACCCTTCACACTACGAGGCAGCTCTGCTCAGCTGCTGGGTTTTTTTTCCAGTAAGCCAGTGGCAGATACTTCATACAGCATTCAGGGTAGCCACTAACAGCAACAGAGATTGAAATGACCTTGCTCAGGAAGAGAAACACATCCACAAGCACAACTAAGTGGCACCCAGAGTTTGTGGAAAATGTGCACTTCAGGCACATTTGTATTTCTGTGAACAACAGCCTCCAGAGACAGCAGAGACGGAACTTCATCTACAGCATGATGTAGTGCCATGGTCCTCCAGCTGCAGCTCCTGGACCACAGGATTTGGTCATAGATGGCCCAACCAAGTAGCAATGTCTGGGCTGGTGACCATCCTTCTCCTGCCCCAGCACAACCTGCCAGGTATCCCCTCACACCCAGCACACCTCCCTGCCACAGGGTGCTTGCTCTCTGCACCAATGCTTGGCTTCCCATGCTGCTAGAAACTCATACTAGGGCAGGAGAAACACAGAACACAAACTGAATAAAGAATTTTTATTTATTTATTTATTATCAACCAGGCTCACAGAGACAGTTATGCTTTAAAACCAAGTACGTATTATTGAGTGAATCCACCTGAGTAAATAAACATCCACAGGCACTTCATATTTTCCACTTCTTTCAAGACAGGAGATGAGTACAGTCCTGGCCATACTGAAGCTGTGGGAATGCTCTCAGTAACTCGAACAGGACCAAGATTTCAACCTGACCTTTTAAACCTCCAAGAAACAAACAGGCAGAAGGGACACTAACTTGAAAGTCACCAGCTCATCTGAATATTTTCTGTCTGCAGTATTTACAAAATGCACTAAAACAGTCAAAACAGAAAAAATTCCTTCTCTTTTACTCTTGTATCTTTTTGTTTTCTCCTAAGTTTGTGCAGAGACAATCCTATCAAAATGGTGCAGTTCAATGCACAAAGATGAAGACCTGTGTCTCTGTGCGTGCCAACTAAAATCAGCAAGCAAAAGAATATTCACATGAATCAAATTCATACTTCTGGCCTCAAAAGCAGTACAAATTCCACTGACTTACTGAAAGAACATTCTGCAGATAGTTCCCTTGCTTCAATATAAACTTAGATATTTAACAGGATAAGACTGGGCCAAAAATCCCCAAACAGCATGGCCTTAAAGTCTTTTCAGAGACATCTTAACATAACTGAGATGTACTCTTCACAAAGAACTCCGCCTCAAATTAAAATGCCCAGGCTACTAAGTGTAAAAACGGAAATGCAAATTTGCTGGCTGCATTCTTTCACTTCAGTACTGCCAAGAGGCCAGGAAAAATACAGTGCTAGCAAAGAATCATGGGCCTAACTTGGTGCTACGAGCTGCCCTTGATTTCAAGGGGTTTCTCATCTGCAGAGCCAGGTGCTGCAACTGATTTTCTCTTATGGTTTCACTGCACAGAGCTCAGTCCTG